TCCTTCTTCTTCATAAGGGAGAAACAACTATAACTCCTGGGGAGAATGAATGTGAGAATTAAATGAGACCACACATAAAATTTCAGGTGCAGAGGTTGGCACAAGGTAAATGGTCACTGAGAGCTAGTTAGGTGTGAAGGTGTGGTAGCAATGATGATTATGATCTACCAGGACATCAAGTGACATCTTAGCCCACAAAGAGTGGCTCATGCAGCAGGTGTATCGGTCAGAAGCCTGGTAGAAAGAAAGAGGCATTTAAATTTGGTCATTTGAAGGGAGTTTAATCAAGGGACACTTTAACAAAGCTGACGGGTGAGGTTTAGGTAAAACAAGAAGAAGAGTGCAGTACCCTGGGGGCTAGTGAGAGGAACCTTCACCACCCCTAGGCCTGGATAGGCATGAGGAGGAAGGATGGCCACAAGTGTCCCCAAGTGAGAGGAGAGATGACAGCTGTAACTTGCAGCCACACTCACTGCTTTCCAATTTGAACTCACTCAGGGGACGCAGACAGGCAGTCCTTGGCTGCTGTTTGGTGTGGACTCAGGACGGGAGCGAGGGGAGCAGAAACACAATGATAGGGGCTTAGAGTGCCCCTCACAGCCCCAAGAGAGCTCTGTCAACAGTGCCTCCAGCTCAAACTCAGACTAGCCTTAAGGAATAGGGTATGAATTGGTGGGGGGGGGGGGGGGGGAGGCAGTGAGAACCATAATTGAAGCACAAGGCAAGCCAGCTCCCCTGATCTCTCTAGAAACTTCCAGGTGGAGCCTCATAGCTGATGTGAGGTCAAAACAGCTCTGAAGGTCATGGCCAAGCAGGCTGTGCACTCGCTGCGGTCATCCAATTTGGGGACTTTCCTGGAGTCTGCCATCCTTTAGCTCACAAGTGATCACCTGCTGTATACACCACTGGGGCTAAGGGAATATGGCATTGGGAGCATAGAGACCTCCCCAAGACAACTGCCTCAGACAGCTGTCAAAAAATCAGGAGGGGGCAAAGACCTGGCCAGATTCCACCCCCTGCCTCAGGCTTGGTATTCATTCGGAATGAGCTCAGTGGCATAGACACAGGCTGGTGCCACCATGGAAGAGGATTGATCAGTGCAGGAGATAAAGGGGGTCGGGAAGTCTTCTGGATGAAATGTCTTGAGCTAGATCCTAAGGACAAATTGGGTTTAGGACGGAAAGAAGACAGTCATGGTGAGAAAGGTGTGGCTGTGGGAATGAGCCTGGAAACCTGAACAGAGTGGGTCTGGGGAAGAGGGAGAGAGGAACTGGCATATCTGGTGTGGTTTGAGCTGGGTGGAGATGTACAGACTGACCCTGCAGATGTTTGCATTTTGGCCCATTTCTGTTGAGGAGAACCTGCCAAGTCCAAGGTTGCTTAGCAGGACAAAGCAAGCATTTTTGGATAACTGAACTGAATATCAGTGCTAAGTGCTTTACACCTACCTTTTCTCATTCAATCCTCAGAGCAGCGCTAATTTTCCCATTGTAAAAGGGAACCAAAGCTCAGAGAGGGTTAGTATTTTGAACCAAGATCACACAGCTGTGAACTGCCATTTGCACAAAATCACACTGTTTCCTACCTCATTCATCCCTCCCCTTTCCCAATTCAGCTGCCCAAAAGAAATGGAGAGAAAGTGATGAGAAAGGTTTTGTGTGTCTATGTGTGTGTGTGTGTGTGTGTGTGTGTGTGTGTGTGTGTGCCTAAGAGTGGGGGAGGGAGGGATAATGGGAGGAGCAGTGTCATTGTTACAGGGCATGGGACAGGACTGAGGGGAGGGAGTTTGTGGGGTCTGGGAGACACATTGCCCTGTAACTTGCTTCATGCAGTTAGGCCAAAGGGCTGCCTCCCCAGAAGCCAAGCCCCACAGTGTGCCCAACCCAGCCCAGTGCAAAGCCAGAGTGGAAGCAGGACCCCTCCTTCCCAAGAGCCAGCCTCAGATCCAGGCAGCTTGCCCCACTCCCCTCAGCTGTGGGCTGCATAATGGCTGTATTTAACCCCTGGCCCCACCAAATGATAGAGCTCCAAGTGCTTTCTCCTGAGGGAGGGGGTTGGGGGAGGGAGAGGGTTACCTATTAGCTGCCAGACCAATCATTCTCTGCTTCCCCTCAACACAGGAATCTCCCTCAGTCATCTAAGCTTGGGGCTAGTCCCTGGGCAGGGAAGCAGAAGTATTCTCTGGACTTTTGGGGAACAGACTCATTTTCCTTGTTTGGGGAAGGCGGAGCTCCACTCCTGGGAACGAGAATGAGGCAGGTGGAGTAGCTGGGTTCACAGTATTGTTCAGTGGGAAAGCCACACTCAGCCCCCAGACTGCCAGCCCTCTCACTGGTGAGGAGGAAGCAATGCTGGGGGAAGGTTATTGTAGCACAGGAGTGAGTGTCCTAGGGAGGGGTCTATTGTTCAGAAAGCTGGGCAGCCAGCTAGTGAGGCGGTAGGAAGGCCTGCTTCCAGTGACTGTTGAGTGTGCAGTGTTCACAGTACTATACTCTGGAGCCAGACAGCCTGGAACCAGCTCCCTGCATTATCTTCTTAGGCAGGAAGGCAAAGCTGGGGGCTGCAGTAGCATAAAGCTCAGATGCTAGGTAGGGCTGCTGGGTGAGAGCTCAGAACCCAAGGTTGGCTTTGGGGAGGCTGCTTAGGCTCTGGGAGAGCTGTAGGGCATGGCAGGAGTCACAGTGAGGCAGGAAAAATGGCTAGGGAACAGAATTTAAGGTGTGGTAGCATAGCCCTGAGAGCCAGTGCCTTCTTAAAGTATGCTCCCTAAGTGCCCTGCTGGCCTCTCCCAGCCCTGCCACACTGGCCCTGAGCTGGGCACGAATGGCTCCTGCAGGCACTGGGCAGCACTGGTCCCAACTTGCTGCTGCAGCCTTCAGCACTGAAAGGAAGGGGGCACTCTAAGCAACTGTACCAGGAAGGCCTTTAGGATAATCTTGGCTGGATTGTGACAGTGTTGCCCAGGAGCCAGGGGCATCATCCTTGGCAGGCCTGAGAGGGAGGAAAACTGGGAGTGGGCCTCCCAGCTTCCAAAACCAAATGTCTGGGTGACTTCAGGAGGTCCTTCTGTTCTAACAAAGGTGAGGCCTCAGTTTTTCTATCTCTAAATTGGGAAGAACCACTTCCTCCCTGCCTCTCTTGCTGGAGTCGAGGGGTGGAGCTGAAAACTGGAGGCCTTCTCCCTCTGGCTGCCAGGGTGGGCCTACTCTTGGTCCCCCAACCAAAGAAGATAGGAAGAATGTTCAACATGAGTGTAAAACAGCTGACAGAAGAATGAGGCAGGCAAGAGGGGTCTCCCAGATACCTCTCAACCTTACCCAGTACACTCAGATCTCACTATTGCTAGCCTAGGATTCTGGATCATCTTTTGAGGTGCAGTTCAGACCTCACCCCCATGGAACCGACCCAACCCACTCCAGGCCAAGGGCCAGTTATCTTCATTCTGCCATAGCACCACACAGAAAAGCACTTAGAACCATACCTGGCTTGTGGATTGGTCATAAACCTTGGTCCATATCCTAGATCCACTGCTGACCCATTCATGGTCCTCTTTATAATTTACTAAGGGCCTAGGGCACGAATTTGTACACCTTGAAAGGAACTGTGGGCCACGAGGTTGTAGTGGGCACAGGGGTGGGTCTCGATTCATCCTCTGTGCCCCTGCCCAGACCCTCCTGCCATGCTCCCCTTCCCCCCTCCCCTATCTGTCAGCAGCCCTACTCCTGCCACCACCACTCCCACTGACAGCGCAGTGCGATGCTGCCCTGATTGCCCCACAGGAGTAGGGGGAGGTGGAGAATCCCTTAGGGGTGAACTTGTACCTACTGATGGCACCGAGCAATTGGGGCCAGGCCTGGCAGCAGGTGCGGGTGCTGGGCACGTGGGAGCAAAGAATTTTCAGTAACCACCACAGGCTTGCCCCAGTGGCAGCAACTGGTGCCCCACCTTGGTTTGGCACCCCTACTCACTTGCTCCACCATCTGGCCATGGCCGATGCCCACCATGTTCTGCTCAAGCTCTCTGGTGGTCAGCACACATCATAGAAACCAGTTGTTTGGTTGTTTGGCCATTCAGTATATTTGCATATTAGCCTTTTATTATATAGGATTTTCAATAATATAATGAATATTCATTAACTGACCACCCAATCTAAGAGACATTACAATAACAGGTCTACTTATCCCCAATTCTTTCCCCTACCTTCCTACCCACACTCCAAGTGGAAACCATTCTCTTGAACGTTGTGTTTTTTATTATTACTAGTAAACAAGTGAAAAGCTATGGATACCCAAAGATACAGGATGGTTGCAGATTTCTTAAAAGAAATAGCTGTTTTACCAACCAAGTTGCAAGTTCCTTGGAAGCAGCTTTTCCTCCTCTCCTGCAGTGTGACCAGCAGGGCCTGGGCACTCAGGATGGTTGGTGAATATTGACTGATGGTCTGCTTGGGTATCCAGACCAGGAAGGATGAATACTGGATTCTAGAGAGCAGGCAGGACACAGCTCCAGGAATAGGGAAAAGGGCTCTTGATTCCACCACTGTACCTGGACTTTGGTGTGACTTCTGCCTTGCCCTATGACATCACACAGCGTTGCCCAGGTGACCCAGCTGTGTGGAAAGGCTTTCTGCTTTTCCCAGATCTGAGCAGACATAGGGACACCCTGGCTTTATCTTCCTGGGGGTGCCAGGAGCCAGTTACCCAGCTGTTGACCCCTGGCCAGCTCCAGACTCCCCACGGCATCTTCACTCACAGTATGTCTGGTTGCTGAGGAAGCTCCATTCTCCTGCACTTCCCCCACCCCCACCCGACTCCCTCTTTCCCCACTGAGGTCTCAGGACCAGGATATAGCACCCCTAAGGCCACACTAATGCTCTATACTGTTCACCACTCAAAAGACTCTAAGGTGCCCAGACAGTATTGATGCCTGATCCCCGACCAACACCAGGTCCTGGTTTCTGAGATTGTTAAACAAAGCCAAACACTGCTGCCCCCAAGAGGATGGGCCAGGAAAAAAAAAAGGTGAGGCCTGGGGACATGGGCTATGTACCACATGAATTCATCTTTTCTTCCACGTCCCTTGTGTGTTTTTCCCTAAATCATAACAGATACTTTCCTTCTCTGTCTCAGACTTCATAGCTGTGAAATGGGGACTGAGGCGATCTCGGCAGCTCCTTCCAGTTAGGTGTCCTATACTCGGGCCAGGTGGGATCTGAATGGTGGCATGCTCGATGTTATCAAGCCCTACTACACTTACCTGATGACTTCTGCCTGTCTCCCCATGACCCAGAGTGAAATGTAGCTTGAATTGGCTGTCTCACCCTCCACAACCTGAAAAGGAGTTTCTGCCTTTTCGTTGCTGGGGTCACAGAGGCCCAGGGAGCCCAAGGAGGTGGCTCATCATCACCCTCCAAGATCTCCCAAGGGTTTCCCAAGCTGCTATCCCTGCAGTGTCCATGCTCCACTACCACATCCTCCCAGCCCTGGCCCAGCCCCTGCCCAGGTCACAGGGACTCCAATGCCTGGAAAGAAGGAATTTTTCTGTCACTGCTGTATTCCCAGTTCTCAGAATAGTGCCTGACATATACCCTGTTTCCCCCAAAATAAGACAATGTCTTATATTAATTTTTGCTCTCAAAGATGCGCTAGGTCTTATTTTCAGGGGATGTCTTATTTTTCCATGAAGAAGAATAAGGTACACATTTATTGTTAAGTGAAAATAAAAGAAATTTATTACCTGTATACGGTACAGTAGTACGGTAGTTGTCAACACAAACTGCGAATCCTACAGTATCAAGAATTTACTCATTTATTCAATGACAATCATGTCATCATCTTCTGGAACATCATCATAACAATCCAATTCCTGAATTTTCTGGTGAATTTCTTGTGACTCCATTTCTTTCAGAATCAGTGGACCAAATCTTTCATGTTTAGCCTAGAGGGGCCTTATTTTCAGGGGATGCTTTATATTTCACTCGGAAGGAAACCTGTAAGTAGGTCTTATTTTCGGAGGATGTCTTATTTTCGGGGAAACACGGTAGTAGGTGCTTAATATAATAAATAGCTGTGAGAGAGCAGCACAACCCTGCCTGGAATAGAATCTCAGTGCAAAGAAAGGCAAATAGTTCCATGTCAGGGCTCCCCTACCTTCTGCTAACTGGCAAGGTTGAGCCCATGCCCTTGACTGTGTGTCACTTACCAACAGGGATGACAGAAAGAACTAACACCAAGGCACAGGTATTTGCTAACTTGGAAACATCCTCTTTGCAGTTACACTCTTAGGTCAAATTAACCAAATAGCTAGGAGTGCCCATGCCCCAATGTGGTTTATAATCTACTAGAGGCCTGGTGCACAAAATTCATGCATGGGTAGGATCCCTAGACCTGGCCAGCAATCAGAGCCTATCATGGCCTTCCTTTGTTCTGCACCCTCCCACACACACACACCCACACACACACACACCCAGTAGTCAGCACATGTCATAGCAAGCAATGGGTCTCCCAGTCAAACTCCTGCAGGGACAATTTGCAGGGACAATTGCATATTAGGCTCAGATAGATAGATAGATAGATTACCCTTGACTTTGGTGTCTGTGGTTCCTGGTGCCCTTCCCCACAGCTGGCTCCTCTCTTTGATCACACCCTCTCTCTTTAAGCCTCCTGGTAAGTCACTCACTGGGCACCAGGCACCTTTGTGGCCACTATGACTCCCAGGCACGTTTAGAAGCTGAAACTAGAAGGAACATGAAGAACAATTTTTAACTCAAAGCCCTTGTGATACAACTGGGGAAACTGAGGCCCCTGGAGTCCAATGACTTGTCCAAATTGCTGAACAGGGACAGCCTGACCTGGGGGCCCTGAGCTGCCAACTGGTTCCTGAAGCTCATTGCCACCTGACCACTTGAGCTGAATGGGGGAGGAAGGGGAGACTCTGGACATATTGGTGGGAAAAAGAGTGCCCTGAGGAGGAGCTGGATTTATTTGACTCATAGCTTTAGGAAACAGAATCCCCTGTAAGAATGTTCATAATGTATATATAGTATTACATATTCATATTTTTTTTTTTTGTGAATCCTCCACTCATGCCTCTTTATTGTGGAGAAGCTTATGGATTTCAGAGTTCTTTTGTATTAGGGATATCCATACATTAATTACTGAATCTATCAATCCTTCTCTTTATTTCTGACTTTTGTGTCATCTTTTAAAAAGCTTCACCATCAAACACTACAACTTCTTGCTAGTTCAAATGAGTACTGCCTACTCGGGTTATGAGCCTGAGGGTGTATGGATACATTGTGGCCCAGAGAAAGCAGGTTACATCCAAAAAAAAGCTTGAGCTCAGAGCAGGGACAGCAGAGAGTGGAGGCAGCCAGACCCTGTTCCCATTTCCGGCTCTGCCCGCGAGCTCACTGTGCGCCTTAGTGCAAGTGCAAGAGCTTTCTGTCTCAAGTCCCAGTGCCTGCTTCCTCAGCTATGAAAGAGCCTTTGTGGCCACTATGACTCCCAGGCACGTTTAGAAGCTGAAACTAGAAGGAACATGAAGAACAATTTTTAACTCAAAGCCCTTGTGATACGACTGGGGAAACTGAGGCCCCTGGAGTCCAATGACTTGTCCAAATTACTGAACAGGGACAGCCAGATCTCATGTCTCCCAGTCCAGCGGTTTCTCCTCTGGCCCCTGGCTTTCAGATGGAGAGCCCTTCTGGAGGTGGACCTGAGCTTCCTGCAGCCCAGATTGCTGGGGCAGAAGGGTAGCAGAGGGCAGGATCTGGAGGAAGAAGGATTTGTCTCCCCACCTGGGCCAATTTAAGACCCAGCCCTGGAAGCTGAAACAACCAGCCATTAATTTCTTCTGTTGGTACAGTCTTCCTACTCCCATCCTAGTCTTCTCCGCACAGCATGTACATCCCAAAATGGGCAGCCCAGGGTCCCGTGGGACATTTGCAGGCTAATCCTGGCTTATTGAGGGCAAGGCCGACAGTCTGGAGGGTAAGGTATTAGAACTAGAACCTTCTGAGTTAGCTGTGAGCCAGGCCATGGTAGAGGAGCCGAGAGGGCTGCTTTGTATGCTGACCTATCTGCACTCCAGCAGTGCTGGAGGGTTAACCAATGGAGAGTAAGCTGATAATAAGTGCCCAGCTCTGCCATCAGCCTACAGGAAGTATATTCAGGAAAGTGAACTCTCTCCCCAGGGTTCATTCATCTCATCCCCATGTTGGATCTATGGGACCTGAGACTGAGGGAAATTTCATCATCACCTTGGCTCCCTGGTATCCAGTTCTGCCCCCATGGAAATTTCACTATCACTTTGGTTTACTTGGCTCCCTGACATGTAACTCAGCTCAAGCGTTTTCTTTTCCCTGATAACTTCTCCAATGTAGGCCCGGGAGGGTGGGAGTAGAGAGAGGACATCAGTCCTGAAGCAGGGAAGGCAGAAAGGTTGGCCCACAGCCACCCCTCGTGGCCTCCCTGGTCCTGGGCTCAGCCTGCCCAGTGGGCATGTGCCTGCAGGCCTCAGCTCTAGGCACCACCTGGTAGTTGGCCTCATGCCCAGATTGAGGCACAGCTGTCCTCTCCCAAACCCCTGTAAGCTTTACTTCCCAAGGTGGGGCACAGTCGAGGCAGAGGATGGAGAGGACAAGGAGGAGGCACTACTTATGGTCTGATCTGCAAAATGCCTGGCTGGGCTCTGGGGTTTGCCAGGTAGTCAGTGAGAGCTCTTAGGCAACTGCCATTCAGCTGGGCCCTCATTTCTGGGGCCATAGGGAGCTTTTGACAGGCCCTTTATCCCTACAGCAACAAGGGTATTGGGGCCACATCCTAGGCTGCTCCTAGGAATCTGGGGATGGGAGAGAGATTAGTTGACTCTCCTGACCTCATTGCAGGAACCTTAGGCTAATTGCTGGGAAGACTGCATTACAAGCCATTCCAGATTTACCCATTGACCAGGTGGGAAAATTAAGGCTCAGATAGGTCGTGTAGAGATCTGGGGGCAGAACTGGATACTTACTATTAGGTCTCTGGACCTTTAAGATGGTATATTGCTTCTACACCACCAAACAGCAAACCTGCTGGGGAAGGGGTAGAGTCGGGGGGGGGGGGGGGGTATGGGGTAGCAGTGAGGGTGGAACCTTGGAAAGGCAGCATCTCAGACTGTGATGGGAGGTGGCTCTGTGCCTGTTCCCTTCCCTTTCCCCTCCACGGGGCAGGGGTTTCTTCTGCTGACCTCCCTCCCCCTCATCCTATCCTGTCCTGGAAGAGGAATAGGGGGGAGGGGGAGAGGTAACTCAACAACCCTTCAGACAGTGACAGGGCCTGCTGGGTCCTGAGGTGGGGGTTGCCTCAGTCAGAAGGGGAATCTCTTTGTAGGCTGGCACTTCTGGAGCTGGGGATGGGATTCTCACCTCCTAATTAGTCATTGTGTTAGGCCAGGATCCAGCCTGTACCAGGAAGGCTTTTGGATAATAAGTCAGAGCTGCAGGAAGTGAGGGAGCAAGCCACAGATATGGGCATGTAGGGAAGGGCAGGCCAGGGAGGGGACAGCCAGGGAAAAGGCGGTGAGGCAGGAGTCAACTTGGTGTATCTGAGAAACCTCTAGGAGGCTAGAGTGGCCTGAGTGAATGGCCAAGGGCCTCGGGATGAGATGAGGTCGGTTTCCCCTACTGGCCCCCAGGTCCTTACAGCACTGTGAGGCCCTGAGTGAAACGAGGGGCTGCTGCAAGATTTGAGCAGAGGAGTGATGTAGGGCTTGAAATCTGTAAAGATTTATTCTGGATGCTCTGTGAGGTGCGGCAGGCTGGAAGAGAAGCAGAGGGAAACAGGAAAGCTATTAAGAATCATACAGAAATCCATTGTTTTGTACCTCAGTGCTGGAAGTGCAAACTGTGAGAAGGGGTCAGATTCTAGACATGGTTTGAAGGCAGGGCTGGCAGGACATGCTGACAGATTAGAGTAACTCAGGGCTCATATTTGTGGTCACACCACACCACTGTTGTGAGAACTGAATACAATAATAGTTCTTCCTGTTCCCTCTGCCTAGAGGCTTCCAGAAACCAGGAGCCACAGTGCCTAGGACCCCAGGCTCAAAATGCAGACAGTGTGTGGGAAACCTGGGCCATCACATAGGAAGCCGGGTTCCAGGCAGGCTGGTTCAAGCCCTCATTGTACAGTTGGAGAAAATGGCTCTCAGAAAATGACTGATTTGGGATTTAAACCCAGCTCTCCTGACACTTATCAGGACAGAGCCAGAGTACCCACCCTGCCGGGGCTGCTACAGCACAAAGGCCACCCAGGACCAGACCCTCAGCCTCCTCTCTATGTAATAGATCATTGTTCTCAATGGTCTCCACAGACCCTTCCCCTTCTGAGGACTCCCTCACTTTACCAGGCTGCCCTGAAATGCAGGCTTTGATAAACTGAGTTTTCCAGATAATAGGGACAGCTCCCAGTGGCCCCCTAGCGCCCCATCTCCAACCTGAAGAGGCCCACTGCTCCTCTCTCCCAGACAGAAGGCCCCTCACATCAGCTGGTGCCAATTATTAAGCAAGATAGAAGGGTGGGGGTGGTTTCCTGCCAATTTAATCTGGGTCAACTGTCAATGTCATCTCCAGGCACAGGGAGAGAGTCCGTGGTTTAGTGCAGAGAGAGGACCCAGATACCCCAAGTCACAGCAGCCCCATGTCCACATTCTTTCACCCCCCATGTTTTACTTGATTCTTAATTGCTTTTTTGTTTATTCACCCATAAATGCTGGGCTCTGCCACATCCCTTGACTCCCTGAAGCCTCCAGAGACACTCTGAGCCTGTCCTGGGCCTCAGAATGCTCCGCCCCCTTCCACTCAGCTGCCTCAGATCTGTCCTGCTTTCCCACTTGTCCTCCCTGCTTCACCCATGCGTGTTCTCCCAACACTTTAAGGCAGTGGTTCTCAACCTTCCTAATGCCGCGACCCTTTATCACAGTTCCTCATGTTGTGGTGACCCCAACCACAAAATTATTTTCTTTGCTACTTCATAACTGTAATTTTGCTACTGTTGTGAATCATAATGTAAATATCTGTGTCTTCCGATGCTCTTAGGTAACCCTGCTAGAGGTTCTCAACCTATGGGTCAGAAAACACAGATATTTACATTACGATTCATAACAATAGCAAAATTACAGTTATGAAGTAGCAACGAAAATAATTTTGTGGTTGGGGTCACCACAACATGAGGAGCTGTGATAAAGGGTCGCGGCACTAGGAAGGTTGAGAACCACTGCTCTAAGGCCTCTTCTTCCCAGCTGCCTTCCCTGACTGCCCCAATCTGTAGCTTTTGTCTCCTCTCAGCTCTCATCACCATGGTCCTTTGGACCATGAATTCACAAACTATTGAGTTATTGAGCCCTTGCATATGAGTTTGCTTGGGGCAACCAGCCCAGGAGGTCACATGTGGGTAGGCACCTCTCTCCTCCTTCCTGGTCTATGGGGTTCTCTGGGTTGAAGATAGACCAGACATCTGGGACAGACAAATCATTCATCTTCATTAAGATATTGGGTGGCTCCGTGGATAAGCTTTGTAAACTGTAAAGTGCAGTGCACAGGGTAACCTGAGGTGAACTGGGGTGGGGTTACAGGAGAGACAGAAGGTCAACTGCTAGAAGCCCAAAAGCAGGAGGGATTTGGGAATTACAGGCAGGGTACCTGCAAAAGTAAGGGCTTAGAGGTGGGACTGGACTTGAAAGGGAGGTGGCCTCTCTCATTCTGAGAGAAATGATGGACCTAGAACCCGCAGAGAGACAGCAGGGAAACTGGGAGAGGTGTGGGCTATGGGGCAGAGGTGAGGAGAAAATGGGGTCAAAGATGACTTCCCCTTTGGGAATCCTAGTTCCAGGCTGGGTAGGGGAGTGACAGTGGGAAACGGCTATCTAGAGAGGAGATATGAGAAGACAAGAGTTACCAGGAGGCAGTAAGAAGAGGCCACTCAGCCCTGGCTCTCTCCACAGGTCGCCGAGGGCCCAGAGGACTCCCCACAGGTCACCAAAGGCCCGGAGGACTCCCCACAAGTCACCAAAGGCCCGGAGGACTCCCCACAAGTCACCAAAGGCCCAGAGGACTCCCCACAAGTCACCAAGGGCCCAGAGGACTCCCCACAGGTCACCAAAGGCCCGGAGGACTCCCCACAAGTCACCAAGGGCCCAGAGGACTCCCCACAGGTCACCAAAGGCCCGGAGGACTCCCCACAGGTCACCAAAGGCCCGGAGGACTCCCCACAGGTCACCAAAGGCCCGGAGGACTCCCGACAAGTCACCAAGGGCCCAGAGAACTACCCAAACACCTCCCAGACTGTGGAATCTGTCATCAGCCACCTGTCTCCTTCTACTAAGGAGATTATCACAGTCACACTCCATGGAGCCACCAACCTCCCTGCCTGCAAAGATGGCTCTGTGCCGTGGCCATACGTAGTAGTGTAAGTAGCTGCTGAAAGTGGGTCAGGGCCTGGTGTCCACTGGAGCAGAAACCAGTATGGTTATTTAGAATATGAGCACCCAAAGGTTTGGGGCTGGGGCTGTGATACCCAGAGGGAATGCCAAGGGGCTGGTGGCTCTGCAAATGTGAGGCCTGGCATCTTCCTGCTGCATGGAAGCTGCTCACCACGGCTAGGGAGGAAAGGGCAGGCCACTCCTTGATTTCACAATTCACTGGGCTGGGCTTGGACACAACCTGACCTTAGGGGGAGGGCCCTGGATGCAGAGGCCTGGGCTATGCTCAGTGAGGGGTGAGGGTGGTCAAAGGAAGGAGAAGTTCCGGGCCTTACCTCTTCCAGACTCTGGGTGCCCCATCCTACCATCCTCCTCCTTGGCCCCCACTACTCTCTGGTCATTTCTACTACAGGGACTTCTCTAGTTCTTGTCTTGTAATGCACTGCCATATCCCCTCCAGCTAGCTGTAGTCAGGGTACACACTTCTCATAGCTTGGTATCCAAACGAGGCCTGCCATGCCACGTCTGCTGCCAATCTCATGGACCTCGCTTCTCTCAGAATGGCATCAAAGGGCTACATAGTCTCCATCCAGCCAACCTTCCATGTGGATACTGGACATCTGCTCAATCCTGATTATAAAGCACTATGCAGTGCTCCCCTCCCCATGTTTGCCATTCCTTAGCCCCTTCTGTAGAAACTGGGAGCCACCAGGACCTTCCACTACACCTCCCCTCCCCTCCCTTCTCCACCCATAACAGCATCATTCAGTGCTGTCTGTTGGCTTTTCTGCACATTTTCTTTTGGAGAGTGCCTGCCCAACACCTTCTGAAACCCCACCTTCAAAGCCTTGCTCATGATGCCTCCTCAACTCTGGCAGCTGCCAAAGTTGAGCTCTCCCTTCAGGGAGGCCCAGGCAGTATCAAACTGGTCAGATGCACTTTATGTAAAAAAGTGCTGCTCCTCTGTTCCCCACACTAGGGCTCCCCAGGACAGGGAACATTCTCTGACAATGCACCCAGCATAAGCCTGAGCACAGATTTAGAGGCCAAAGAGCAATTGAAGCAAACACCAGGTTACTATAACAACTATTGCACCCCATAGAGTGAAAGAAGGATAGACAGTGGGCTGGAGACCAACAGGTGAAACACTTGCTTGTCTCAAAAGCCCCATCCCCACCTGCCCAGATCCCAGGCCCTCCCCTCCCCTCTCCTCCCTCAGATCCATCTCTGCCGAGAGGAAGGACAGGTGGCAGAGAGAAGGCTTGGCGAGGAGCTTGCGGTCTCTGCTCAGCTATTTCCATAAACCAATTATCGCCCATCATCTAGGGAGATTGAGGCCCTGCCTATCACCAATCCAGCCCGGCGGCAGGGCCAAACGAGGCGGGGGGGAAGGGAGGGGGAAGAGAAGGGAGGAGGAGGGAGGCGGGGAAGCTAGGCAGCCCGCTGCTCCTCCACAGGCGTCAGGACCTGTGCCTTCACCCGGTTGCCATGGGAACGCTCAGTTGGAGCTGTGCTGGGCAGGAGCTGGGGTGTGGGGTGTGGGATGTGGGGGCGGGAGGAGCGCATCGCCAGCACCCTTCTTCACCCGGAGGGGGCAGGGAGCTTCGTTCCAGGTCTCCTGGCGGCTAGGCGCTAATGAGATGCAAATGAATCAAAGGGAGGGCTTCAGAAAAGGAAGGCCCAGCTGGTGGGACCTGAAAGGGGCTTCAGTTCGAGCCCCCAGCTCCAGGCAGGAACCCATGAGGGAGGACCAAGCCCTCAGAAGCCCTAAACCCTGGGAAGAACTGGGTTCCAAACAATACAATGTGTGATTCCAAACAATACAATGCACACCTGCAATGAGCATTACTTATTCCACTTGCGTTTTTATTTTTCTCACGATGAGTATTTTGATGCTTAAAATATATATTACATATATTTTATATATTGACTAATAGTAAATAGTATATTAACATATATTAAACATATAATTTCATATTCTTTCAAAAATATTTTTTCTTCTCTTCCTGTTGCCTGTGTTTTCTGCTGCCTTCTGCTTGGTCTCCTGGCTTAGTTTCCTGCTCTCTGCAGTCCCACCTTGTCTCATCTCAGATTGGAGGTGGGATGCTGGGGATTCCTGAGTCTGCCAGTTCTGCCCTCCTCTCTGGGTTTGTTGCATCCCCAGCAGAGGCAGACCCGTGGTGAAATGGGTGAAGTTGGGGTTGAAGCACAAGGGCCCAAGCTACTCATTCATCAGCCCACTAGAGGAGAGTTGGAGAGGGCTCAGGTCCTAAGAAGGAACATCCCTCGTTTGGCATCTGGCCGCTTTACCACTATGCAGGCTCCAGCCTTGAGCTATCCTATATAATAAAAGCCTAATATGCAAATTGTCCCCTTTGGAGTTCGGCCATGTCTCTATGACATGCGCTGACACCAGGGGGGTGTCAGCAATGCGGCACTGGCAGTGAAGGTGCTGCCGCCCCGATGGGCCCCAAACAAGAGTGGGATGGTGGAATAGGTGAGCAGGCAGCGCCAGGACAAGGTGGGTGCAAGTGGGGGCCCTGATTACTCCACTTATCGCCCCACAGACAGTGACCAGTAGGGGGGCACCACTAAATTCCCAGGCACTGAGGGAGCCAGGTGGAGGCCCCCTCCCTGCCCCTGCCCTGATAGATTGCCCAGAAGGCAGGATGGTGGAGCAGGTGAGGAGGTAATGCCAGGCCACAGTGCGGTATCAGGCAGAGCTGCAGGGCTGCAAGCTTGGGGGCCCAAGCTGGGGCCTGATCCCCACAGGCCACCCTGAAGGACCCACCCCTTCATGAATTTGTGCACCAGACTTAGTTTCCTGCTCTCTGTTGTCCCACCTTATAATAAAATGCATCCTCTAGTCTAATAATAAGATGCATCCTCCAGGCCAAGAGGTGCATTTGGCTCATCTTGAGGTTCTGCCTCTTTCCATCTGAGCCCTTGGCTTGCTTCCAATCTGATCCCACTTCTCCACTGAAACAGCTTTCTCTAAAGTCCCCAGTGACCATCATGCCTGATCCTACATCCAACAGTCATCTCACCTTTTGTGATCTCTCTGGGGTATTAACCCCTCAGGACCACTCATTCTACCCTTTATTTTCCTGCAAATTTCCAAAATGTCCCCTCTGTTATTTTCCTCTCTGTTCACCACCCCTTTATCTCTTCTTCCTGGCACTAAATGTTGACCTGCCTCAGGGTTCAGCCTTCGCTTGCTCTTCTTTCTCTATACTCTCCACATGATCTCTTCCCCATCCTGGTATCAAATCACATTCTCTCACCCCATCCAGTCCATCACCAAGCTGTGTCATTTCTCTCGTACTTTGAATTTGCTGCTTCTCTCCATCAGCTCCACCACCTTAGGCTACTACATTATTCTTCTGCTCTTGGTACTTGCTCCTCTTCAAACCCCCTTCCAAGGCAGGTTACTATTTGATACCATGGTACCATACTACCAAAGGAACTAATTATTTGAACCCTCCAATGGCTTCTCATTGCTCCCGAATAAAGAGGATTCCTGACCCAGCATGAGTCTTTGCTGGCCCCTTAATATGACCCCCTCCCCCAACATTCACTTACTCTCTCTGCTCCAGCCACTCCAGACATCTCTTTGTTCTCTGAGCAGACCTTGTTCCCTCCCACTCCAGGACTTTGCACACTCCCTCTCCCAGAACATACTTCCTTCTCCTCCTCCCCTCACTGGATCTCAGCTTAGTCATTACCTACTCAAGAAAGCCCTCCCAAACTTTCCCAGGCCAGTCTAAATCCTCCCCCCTTATTATAGCTTCACATTTTGTGTGCTGTTTTGTGATTACTAGAGGCCCAGTGCATGAAATTCATGCACAGAGCAGGGAGGGGGAGGATTCCCTTAGCCCAGCCTGCACCCACTCAAATCGGGGACCCCTCGGGGGATGTCTGACCCCAGTTTAGGCCCGATCCCTATGGGCCTAAACCGGTGGTCAGACACCTCTCTCACAATCTGGGACCACTGGCTCCTAACCACTCACCTGCCCGCCTGCCTGATTGCCCATAACCCCTCTCTCTCTGCCTGTCTGCCTGATCTCCCCTAACTGTTCTCCCTTGCTAGTTTGATCTTGCCCCCAATTGCCCTCTTCTGCCAGCCAATTTGGTTCTGATTGGCCAGTTTCTATGCCAGTCAGTGTCAAAAGCTCCTCCTCTTAGGCAGCCATTGGCTCCTTACATTCACCCAGATTTGGTTTTGATTGGTCAGTTTCTATGCCAATCAGCATCTCTGGGCCTATCAATGGAGCCTGATCAGAAAGGCAGGGCTGATCAGCAGCCCTGGTGGAGGTCTGGAGAGAAATGGAGGCCTGGCTGTTGGCCAGGCCAAGAAAGAAAGAGGCAAATTCTGATCAACTGCTGCCACAGAGGCTATGGACAGACCCTACCTCTCTCTCTGCAGGCCTCTCTCTAGGCCTGATCCACAACCCCCTAGGAAGTCTCCCATCTGGTCAAGCCTTCAGTAGTAACGGTTGTTACAATCCTGGCTCTTTATTATATAGATTGGCTTAATCTTCCTTAGTGCCTCCCCCATTATGCCCGACTAGTTCCATAAGCAACCACCAGTTCTGTTTTGCTTACCATCCCATCCCTACATAGTATCTGGAACATAGGAAGCTGTCAACAAATATTGAATGAATGAATTAATGAATGAATGAATGAATAAACAAGTGAATGAGTTAATCTGGCTCCATTTCTAGCTTTCTCTGTGACTTTGGGAAAGTTATTTTACCTCTCAGTGCCTTAATACCTCATCTGGGAACCCACCTCAAAGGACTGTGAAGATGGCAGAGCCAAATGGGAAAGATGTTGACTGGTAAAGAGTGACACAGAGGTGAGGGATATCCTGGAGGTGAGGGGTATCCTTAGCAGCACTCACTGTGGGCATGTAAGACCTATCAGAAGAAAGCCTCAGGGCAAAGAAGAAAAACCAGAATGGTATCAGGAAAACCCAGAGTCTGGC